GGAAAAAGAAGCATTTTGATATGTTTGTTTTATTCCTGGGGTGAAGTCTTTAGAGTGCCATCAATCATTGTCTTTACTGTGAGTTGCTTAAAATGAAAGCATTAGAAATTAAGTTCTAGTTTAGAGGTCGGTTAAGTTTTGCACTTACAAAATACTTTTGTTTAAAAATAGCCGGCAAGAGAAGCATTCCAGAAACTGTGTACAAGATGCAAATCCCTCCAAAGGTAAGTCTTACTGGAGTGGCAAGTCTAAGGCTATCAAAGAAGTAACCTCATTTGGGAAGATAAGTGCAAGAACTTCCTCATTGCCATTTACAACCCGACAGCCTGTGCCCAACACACAACACAGGCACAAGAACCTCCTGCCCGGGAAGCACACCGAGAAACGATTCCGCACCACGCCATTCCCATACTTTGTAAGGGGGCCCACTGAGGCTTGTCTGGCAGGACCCCCTGCTGTGTGACCTGCCAAGGGGCTGGGTTTGAGGGACTATGTGGCTAATCCCAGCAAGTGGGACCATATGTTAAAATGGTTCATGAAAAAAGAAAAAAAAAAAAACAGCATCTAGACAGAGCCGCTTTGCACCCTGAGAGGTACAAGAAAAAAGAGCAATTGTAGATAAAGCTCTATTTTCTGCCCTGCATAAACCACATCCCTCTGTGATTCAAATGGACTTTGGTGCCTCTTCCATTTTTCTCACTCTCATTAGACAAGCAGTCTGTCTCAATAAATTATAAGCTTGTAAAAAGGAAAACTGGCTTATGTATTAATATTCCTCCTTCTGGCAAACTCAAATTGTTTTCCCCACTGAGCTATCAGCAGTCCAGTTGGGTTTTCAGACAGTCAAACGTAAAGTTTCCCAAGACTTCATTGAGAAATCTATTTAGTGGTCTATTGCCATGGATTAGGGAAGTTTCCATCTGATGATCTCAACTTGTCATTATTCTCTTATTCAACTTGGACTTTATAGTCAACAGATGCAAGATTTTTTTTTTTTTTTAACTCTGTGCTATAGGATGTCAGACACATTTACAATTATTTATTTGTGAACTCACGTTTGGCCCTTTCGTTTTATTAAAACATCCCGGCAGCAGATATGCATCAAACACTAATTGAATGTGTTCTTTTCTGGATGGTAGAAAATCACTAATAGATGTTGTTGAAGAACTCCACAGATTGTGGGCTACCAAAATTGCACACGAGTGCCTGTAGTTCATAGCAACTAACATTTATGTACAGTCAACACTTGTGTGTATAAAATGAAATAAAGGTATAAAAATTTTATTTAGAATGCTGCATAAAAATACCTTTTTTTTAAAAAAAAAAGTAATATTTCAAGTAGGTAAAACCCAAAAGAACTCTTTTATTGCCTCAAAGTCACAAACCAGATGAGTTAAAAAAATGTCACAGATGATCTACTTATTCTTTTTAATATTTTCTGAAGTCTCTCTCTTATTACTCTTAAATAAATAATGGTTTCTGAAATCCCTCTTTAAATAGCCTTCCTGTATTTAAGGATATGTCATAGCCATCAGAATCAACAACATATTAAAGAAATGCTATTATATCAAGCCAATGTCTTGACAAACTAAAGCTGTTCATAATTCTCTGTTCATAGACCTTATAGTGGTTGCATGTGATGGAATAATATTCAGATACTCGTCTGAAAGGGCTGCATTTAGTATCCTTAAAAGATGTCCCCTTCTGCTCTCCCCATCTGGAAGTATCTCATGCCAGACAGAGTGACACACAGAGGAAACACACTTCACATGAACTTAAGTAGATGAACATACATGTCCCCCAAAACCGAAATAAGGCGTGTGCAAAGACATAGAAATGAGTGCAGTACAAACCCCAGATTGATCCTTTCCACATGTTTGGAGATCCCAGAAGGCACAGATGCCAAGGACCGGAACGTGCAGTGGACCTCGCTGGGAACGTAGCAGGCGCAAGGGTGAGGACAGGCCAGCGCCGCTCGAGGGTGGCCCCAGACCAGCATCAGGACCACGGAGAGCGCCCCCCAGGGAGCTCGCCTGGGCATCTTGTCCGGCCTCCTCGTCCTCGGACACCTGGCGTGGAACGGCAAAACGGGATGCGTTTATCCTCGGGTAGTACCGACTTGTTTTTAGCAATTTTTATTTGAATCGTGCATCGTTTGAATTGTCCTGAAGCTTCCCAAGACTTCAAATCATATACCGTAGCGGTGCTTGCAACATGTCAATTAAGAAAGATGAAACTCTTATTTCTTTTCTAGTCTTTCCCAAGTCACTTTAATCATTACTATAGAATGTAGCCTTGATCGTTGACTGGCATACTAAGATTCGGAAATCTCGCTATCTCGTGCTCGGCAAGCGTGAATACGGAATCCACACATATGCACACATATACATATATCTAAATATCTATCTATCTCTAGATAGATCAAGAGAGAGAAGAAGAGAAAGGAGAAGGAGGAGGAGAGAGATTTATATTTATGTTTCCATAGTAATAAAGAACCAAAAGTTACTTTTTGGCCTCCAATGACAAAGAACCTGTGGCCTTCTGATTTCAAGATTGTTCTTTTTTAAGCACCAAAGAAGGCAAGAAAAGCTTCAACTTTCTCTGCCCCACCCCTTTTCATAAAAGGATTTGTTCTGTAAAATATGGATTCAGTCAAAAGAGTACACTTAAGGCTGTGGCCTTAAGGCTGTGGGTTCCCCACCCTTAGACAAGAGTGAATCATTATCTATTGTATATATTTGGATTTTAAAAAAAAACTTCTCAAGAAACTTGTTTATGATCAGGAGCATTTTCTTCCTTTAAGGACAGACCTCAAAGTTTTCATTCTAACATTTATCCCACTATTTGTGGGTTTGTTTACTACCCTTGTTTATTTACATATTTACTTTTCTCTTGGAAGAGCCAACATGGTTATGTTGGCGCAGTCTGGTTGTTTATCCCGGAGGAAGTTTTGGGGGGAACCTCTGTAAACTTGACCATTGAATAAAGAGAAAGGAACTGCCTAATAAAATATGTTCGGGGAAACAGAAAAGATCAAAATAGTCACTTAAGGAAAAAAAAACAACAACGAAATGCTCAGATAAATGTTAGACGGCATCCATCAACTACCTAGTTTAGAATAACAGTGGTTTTTCTCATGCATTGGGCATAGCTGCGTCAGCTAATAATTTTGTCATCTCTTCAGTGAAGTTTACTTAAAAACAGCGATATGAATGGAAAGCAAACAGTGATACACAATAGGGAAGCGCGCCTGCCCGTTTGTTCCTGTTCTGCTGCTAACAAACTCCAGCCGGGTCACGGAAGAGGGCAGCACCCCGAACCCGCAGCAGCGCCATCCTTTAAAGGACCTGGATGGAGCAGGTTGTTCCCTTACGCCTGCGTGCGTCCCGCCTTGCAGCTGCGGGTGAAGAACTGACGGTGCGCAGGGCAGCTCTGCAGAGAGCAAGCTGGGCTCCACCTCTGCGCGCTGGAACGGAGGAGTTCCCTGGCCTGCCCGGGCTTTCCCCGCCTCTCCCTGCGCGCCCGACCTCGGCGCTGGGCTGCTTCCAAGGGCATCCGGGCCAGCGCCCCGCGCCCTGCGCCTGCGGGCGGACTTGGCCCAGGCGGCCCCAGATGGCTGCCCAGCCTCGGCTCTCTGGCCAGCCTCCCACGCTGGCATACCCCGTCTCGGAGACCCCAGGGAACTCGCCCCCGGGAACCCTAGTCCCGGGCGACGCGGGCCCCACGTCTTTCCGCAGCCCTGCGCCCGCTAGAGCGCGGGAGCCAGCCTGCGAACCCGGGGTGGGGAGCAGGGGCGGCGGCGCGAGGCAGCTGCTCTCCCCCTCGCCCCCGGCGAACAACCTGGAACGGCCGGGAGGGCGGCCCTGCGCCCCTGGCCGGCTTCCAGAGCCCTCTCGGTCGCGCTGACCCAGCTGCGCTGTGAATTACGCGCTTGGGACTCGTCCATCAAACCCCTTCTCCCTCTGAGGGAGACCTTCCCGGTTTCCGCAGGGCTCAGTTCACTCTGGCGGTGCGGTCGCCCCCTTTTCCAGGGAAAACGTGGGTAAGAAGAGGAGGGAGGGGAGACGTGTGTAACCCGAGCCCAGGGAACTTAGAAAGAGGCCCCTCAAGCGTCCTTTCCCCGACTGATTGCAAGAGCAGAGTGGGCTTCACTTTGGGGTCCCCGTGGGCTGCGCTCTAGAAACAAGGGATGGGCGAGGTGGGCAGGACCCAGGGAGAGCGAGGCATGGGGAGCGCGCTGGCGAG